CTTCTCTTATATATTAATATTTTCTTATTTAGTATGGAAGTTTATGTGACATTATGTGTCTTATTTATGTACAAACAATATAATTGACCTTTTTATTAATTGAATTTAACTTTAAACATGAATAAACTTTTGATCTATTTATTTAAGCATAAAAATCAACAGCTTTCCATTGTGGTTACAAAAATATTCAGTGAAAAATATATTGTGAACACATATAATTTCTTAATATTTTATGCCTTTTTAATATACATTTTTAAATAGGCTTTAAAAATAGGTACTAATTAGCTATTTATTTAAAAAATATACATTTATTTATATATAAACACAACATCTAAATTCCCCACACCACAAGACACAACCAATCAATATCAGCAGAGATAGGTATGTGATAGTATATTTATGATTATATTATTATAAAGATATTGTTATAAATCCTTATATGTTCTTAATTCGTACTTCTGTAAGGTTTTTTTTTTTTTTTTTTTTTTTTTTTTTTTTTTTCTGTAGATAGACTATATATATATACATGCCTAAATGCATGAGTTGCTGCCATGTGATTGGGTAACTAGAAATTTGTGTTAAAGAGCAGTTGGAAAGGTGTACCTAATAAAGTGGCCAGGGATTTTGTATTTTTATATGTCATTGTTTTTTATGGAAGTTCATTTGACATGATATGTCTTGTTTATGTGCAAATAGTATAACTTACCCATTAATTTACCTATTATGAATTAATTTAAACTTTAATCATGAATATAATATATAATATTTATATATTTAGTATAAAATAACTATAGAATTCAACAGCTTTGGTTATAAAACTTTTTTACAGCATTTCTTTAAAGATAGACTAGAAAATGGGTCAATATATTATATTGTATTTTCTTTTTTCCAGACCTTTCTCTGTAAACCATAGAGATGGTTCTGCATGAAAATCCCAGTAGATCAGCAGTTTCTGAAATACTCAGACCAGCCTGTATGGCACCAACAACGATGCCACGTTCAAAGTCACTTAAATCCCCTTTCTTCCCCATTCTGATGCTCAGTTTGAACTGCAGCAGATCATCTTGACCATGTCTACATGCCCAAATGCATTGAGCTGCTGCCATGTGATTGGCTGATTAGAAATTTGCGTTAACGAGCAGTTGGACAGGTGTACCTAATAAAGTGGCCGGGGAGTATAGGTTATTCATTCGACATGATGTGTCGCATTTACATGCAAATAATATAACTTACCTAGTATCCATCCATTTAAACTTTAAACATGAATATAATATTTATATATTTAGTATAAAATAAGTATTAAAATAAACAGCTTTCCAGTATGGTTATAAAAAAAACTTGTTTATGACATTTTTTAAGGATAGACTATAACATGGGTCAAAATATTATATAAATTTAAAAAATAATTATTTATTTATAAATGCAGCATTCTCAAA